CCCAATACCCCAGTATCCCAGATGTTCTTTTCGATGACTTGAGCAGCCGTTTGCAGTTCAGCGCGCAAGGCCCAGCCAATTAGGTTTAAACTTTCAAAACTTGCTAAATGCTAGCCAATTGTGTGATTTGCGTGTGATTTGAAACCCCGCTCCCTTTTCAAACCCCCTCGCCCTGCTGTAACCTCTATAAAAACCCCTGGTGTTTTAGAGTCAGGGCTCTCAATCTTGACCCGCTGCGTCGGTGACAGTTGAGAGTCCCTGCTCGAGCTTGAATAACCGACCCTCGTGTGTTTACATCGGAATCGGTTCCTTGGTGGTCTTTGGGGACCTCGCGATCTGGGCACAACAAAATCAGCCCTCCAGCACCACAGCCTTGACTCCAGTGCCTCTACCAGCACTTCAGGTAGTTCTGCTACCAGGAGATAGCTGCCCCCAGGAAGCTTTCAGAAGACTCTAGGAGCTCTGTTGTCAGTGTCTGAGGCCTCAGACACACTCCAAAGAGCAGTTTCTGACCATCTTGCAAGAGATCAAGGCCTAGGTGAGGGAGCAGCACCCAGAAAATGATGAGGAAGCTGTGGCTCTTGAGGCTGTACAAAGAACTCCTGAACAAGTGAGAAAAGGAAGCCAGAACCTTGGGGTTTTGGTTGAGGAGAAGCTGAAGAGAGGAATACAGAAGTACAGTTTCTGGAGAGAAAATTCTAGTTGATAAATGCACAGTAGGACTCTGCCTCCCACAGAAAATCTTGGCTACCTTAGGTTGGCCCTATGCCCATACTGTATGGGGAGAGTTTCTCATCTGCAGATTTAATTGTTGCTATTACATGCTAGATATTGGGGATTTTACAGCTTGCAAGACTGTCTCAGGCCTGCTGAGACCTGTGTCCCATGGGGAAATAGACAAGAAACATGAACAGAGACACTTTCAGATGAGTGCCAGGAAGGGAATGAACAACTGACCTGATAATGAGAAACAGTGAAGTAAGGGTTCAGGTGACATCTGAGTTGAGATGTGAGGGAGGAGAAGGAGCCAGTTTCGCGGAGAGCAAGGAGGAGAGCCCTTCAGGCAGGAAGCCTGTTTGGAAAGAGGACTTGGCCTGGTGGAGAAAGAGGAAAGGCAGAAGTCGGGGATCAAGGGGAAGAGGGCTAAGAGAGAAGGGAAGAGGGGTAAGAGAGAAGGTGAGAGGGGAAGGCAGGACTAAAGCCTTCTGGGCCTCTAGGCTGCAAAGAGAGGGTTGGATTTTACTCTCTGTGCAGTGGGAAGCCACTGAGGAGTGTCACCAGGGAGGTATATGATCTTACATTTTAAAAAGATCATATTAGGGCCAGGGATGTAGCTCAGTGTTTTTATCGCCTGCTCTACAAGCACAAGGACCCAAGTTCGATCCCTGGTACCAAAAAAAAAAAATGACATTAGATTCCATAGAGAGAATGAATTGA